CAGAGGATTAGGCAGAGGTACAATTCACCATAATAAAGCTACCTGAATATAGGTAGATCTGTAAGTTTGGAATTGCTGTTTTGTTTTGGGTTTTTTCCTCATTTCTTCCTTCTATGGAAATAACATACACACCATTTTATTTGCTTTAAAAAGGAGCATAGTTGGGTTTTATTTTTTGTTTGGTTTGGGGTCTTTTTTGACATGTTGGAGGCAGTAGGGGTGGCTGAGAGTCCTGGAGATGCAGTGAAAAGCAGTGGAGTGGCAAAACAAGAAGGAAAACAAGCAGCATAGTTATTTGCTTGCTCCCTCATGGAAACTTGTTGCCTGGAACATGTGGCTGGGCTGTGTTTAAATTTAATTTCTGCTGCATTTAAATGCCACCACAAACAGAGTAAATGCTGAAATATGACAGTCTAAACAGCTCAACAGCTTCAAAATTAAACCAGACTAAATTACTTTCAAATATTTTTGCGAGCAGGAAGAAAAAGAGATGTTGAGGTACTGTCTCAACACTATTATCTTTATTACTGACCTAACTTACAGACAGAACTCTTGCTGATGGGCACAGCTTAACCTAAGCTCTCCCTCAGAGCTCTGTATCGCTTTCCATCCCACCAGCCAACCCAACAGCAGGCTCCACCACCACCGGTTGCACAAGATCTGCCTCCAGCACCAGCAGACTCAGAGTGGACTGTTTACAGGCAGCGTGCTGAGGACTGGCAGGAGAGATGATGAGGTTGCTGTAATGAGCACATCATGTAGTGGCACATTTCAAAAACAGGTCTAACCAGACAATGCACATAATAACCAAAATTAATGCTGTCCAACCAGCACTGGCTTCCCATTCAGTACCTGACCCACTTCAAGATTGTTGGAATAATGCTGAAGTTCTCAACAAAGTCAAGCCTCAGTTCAAGTGCAAACTCACATCTCTAATGTGTCTTTGACAGCGATCTTGCACAACGTGACTGCAAAAGACACAAGCAATGGCCTGTAATTCACCTGCACTGCAGCTTCTCTTATGGCAGCAACTGCTGTAAGAACTGTATCATCAGCTTCTTTCACACCCTGCCTTGGTCTCTGTCAAACAGGGACTAGAGCAGTACACTGTAGCTGTATGAATACCTGTGACCTCACTACACTGTGACAACTACAACAGGGGAGGCTCTCACACCAAGAACAGACAGGGTTACAGCCCCATTTTCTAGCTGTGAAACCACTGCTTCACTGTCAAGTAGAGGTTTCAGTAGTGTGACAGGAGATCTGGCTGGAACAAACCTTTTGTTCAAGGCTCACATTAGAAAAAAAAATCATGGTACAGTAGTTGTAACCAACAGTGAAAGCTGCAGTGGTGTGGTTAGACATCAGGTTCAGAAGTTTTTTTATCACATCACAACAACCTGCTCTTAGAGGTGAACACGTGGGTTCATATTGTGTCAGAAGACAGCCTCAAAGAGCCAGATGCTTCAAAACACTCAAGGCAAATTTTCAGGGAAAAAAAACAAAAATAGTTTCTGTCACAAATCATGGAAGAAAATATTGTGCACCGACCCAAGTAAAAGCTAAAACGCTGCACCAGTACCATCATATTACACCAACACCTACCAAAAGGTTAGCGTTGTTTGGCAACCCAAAAGGTTAGGGGTGACCTGGTCTTGGTGCTTTATAGCACCCACATGGGAAAGTGGTTTGTAAGAGTGCTGCCATTTAATCAAGTAGGAAAAGACAGCCCAACAAATTGGTTGGAAACTGAAGCAAGATCAAAAACAATGCAACACCAAATATGATTATTCCTTACAACTATTTATCTACATATGTGACTGATCCTTCATTATTTAACCTGTCAAATGAAGCTTAGTAACTTGCAAAATACCAAGTCAGAGTCCAAATGGGGTGAGTTTATTCAGGATTAGCCAGTAATGCCACGTTCTTCCAGAAGCTCTGGATTTACTGAGGCATTCACTTCAGTAGCAGTACCATCAGCAGCTCTTGGCACCATCTGCAGATGTGGGTGGGTAATGTAGCCTTTTGGGAGCATTCACCTGCTGCTTTGCTGTGGCACACACAATGCTGGTGGAGAATGTCTGAGACAGCTGACAAATTTTTATTCTTATGAGATCTAGTGTCTAACTACCAATTCAGTTTCTGTGGGACTGGAGGAAGTTGCTTTGATGATTGAGAGAGAAACACATTTCACATTTTTTCATGGTTACACTAACCAGAGATTACTTTATTTGTGGCTGTTAGTGACTTTCACGCCTCAGCTATTTTGACGTTTCCTGTTTGCTAAGTGACAGGGAATTGCTTGCCTTGCATACTTAAAACAAATGATGTTTTGGCCTTTTCCCATCCAAGTAAAAACTCTAGGTTTCCCACACGGGAGTTTTTTTCTTCTAGAGTATATGCATTGTCTCAAAAATTACTTCTACAGAGGACAAGCCTCTCGCCAGATGTAGTTTGCATCCCTTCCAGATCCTTTACACTGCCATAGAAAGCCTTGTGCAGCAAAGTGACTGATCTTCAGTCTCAGGTCAGGTATTTAGTGGAGAAGCAGCTGTGCCAGTTATAGATGTGACCAACATCCAGGCGTCTGTCATCGTTCCACAGCAGCTGTACAGTCAGCCCCGTGGCAGAGTATAAAGGGCTGTATAAAAAAATTGGTGCTTAAATTCCAGTGGAATGTCAGGTGGGTAAACTCACATCACTCCTACCAGCACTTACTAACCTGCTACCTCTGCACTGAAACACATGATGAGTGCCCAGATGATTTGTTCTGACATCTAAGCTGTACCAGGAAAAGGGTAATTTCCAGTTTATGGCTGGGAATGGACATTTTCAAGTGCCACAAAGCCATTTCTACAATGACCATGTGACTGTAGCCTCAGAAAACAGTCATTATTTTACAGACAGCTGGTAAACATCCTCTTCCAGACCTGGTTCTGCAGGCTAAAGATGCCAGGCATCTGGATGGATATTCCCAGAAACCAAAGCTCTCCCTGTAGCTCACTAAATTGGAATTGTTCTACTGTTTTCCTAATCTGCCTGAGACAAAGCATACTGGTTAGTGCAAGCCTGCCTTTGTCAGCTGTTTGATCTGACCCAGCAGAACTCGCCTGAAACAGTGTGCATTTATTCTCTGGATACACCTTTTTGGCAGAGTTGTACATGTGGTAACTCCTGGCTATGGTGAAAATGCAAAACCAGAGGTAGAGAGAGCAAGACTTTCAGCAGTAAAAGGGGTTTGCAAAATGGTAATGGCACATGACTACCAAGTAGTCAAGCAAGGTGCATAGTACAAATGCCCATTTTTTTAGTTCTGCTTAAAAAATGTGAAACATCCATGAAAAACACAACTGTCCTTCAGCCTTTAAACAGCTCTCAACTCACAAGGTTGAGTTCAATGCAAAAAGTGATCTTTTAACAGATTTTATACCATGACAATAAATTCAGACAAGATGCCTCTTTAAACCATGAGATTATTGCTACTATCTTTACTATATACTACCCTGTTATCTAAGAGCCAACAAACAGTACTTATATCTGGCACTAGACAAGCACAAAAAATAAATAAAAAGGCTTGCAAATGATGCAGGTAAGGCAGGTTATGGGGAAGGTGTGGTGGGAAGGAAGGTGTGTTTTCAGGAATGGGATTATGGTTCTTGGACTTTCAGTCTGAAAGGAGACCTAAAGCAAATGAGGGAAAACCCCAAAAAGATCACATGCCAGATATCTTGAACCTGGTGTGAACATCCATGAGAACCCCTATGTATGCATATATCTCTGGGAGTCCAGTGGGCTTGGCAAAGCAGGCCCACATGTGCTGACCTTGGCTTTTTTAACAGTCATGACATGGATGCAAGGTAAAAGCAAATTGTTGATGCCAATGAGTTATTTGTTTGACGTTCAGGAAATACCCAAATAAAGAATGTCCTTGGTGAAAGGATAATAATTGGTAGCACAGACCCACTCCCATGAAATGGCTACAGTTTCTCAAGACATTAAAAGACAAAATGCGGAAAAAAACGTGGATGAAGAGCTACATACATTAGAATAAAAATCTTTATGCAAGACTATTTTTCCAGGATGGATGGATCAGATGTATGGCAAAATCTTCCTAATGCGAATGCAGTGTATTAAGAGAAGTTCATTGTTACAGATGTACTTTACACAAGCCTGCTGTGCTAATAAAAACAAAACCAGAAACAAAACCAAAAAACAACTGAGAAAAGTGACACCTTTTCCAGGTGATACTCATGTTGGCAATCACATTCCTTAGTGTCTCTCTCTGACCCAGATTCTTTCTAGGGATTGAAATCAGCTGTGGCCAGATCTTAAGGTTTATTTGGCTCCAGCTTCATGGCTAGATGATGTTTTATTCATGTCATTACTAAAATCACTACTTACATTTAAAATGCTGTCAGACAGCCTGCAGATTCTGCCCATATAGCACAAGCAAAGCAATATTCTTCAAATGAGCTGCATTGCACATAGCACTCTTGAAAATCAATTTTTATTGCACATACCATTGATATTTCTTAATTTGAGCAAACAGAAAGTTCAATACCACCATAAAAAAAAATCTGAATCTGTAAAACACTTCTGTTTCAATACAGAGAGAGAATACTAGTAGTAATTTTAAGACAGGCAATAAGAATTATTTCTGGAATATAATTATCTTCTCAGTTCAATGGGATTCTTCCAATGTCTAGCTGTGAGTGGAGGAATAAAAGAAAAAAAATCCTACAAACTGCTCAACTATAATCTCCCTCACCAACTTTTGTGGTTCTTTTAATTGAGAAATTATAACAACTAGGGATAGGTACATGTTATTATAAGAAACCTTTTGCATTCTGTAATATGGATTCAGTTATATGCTTCATTATTTTCTATTGGTTTCATGAGTGTAGTATAAAAAAAAAACAAAAAGGAGGTGAAAATACCAAACAAACAAAATATTCTGGCATTTTTCAAATTATACAATTGTAGTTTTTGGTCAATACTGCTTGAAATTTCCTTCCATTTTACTTTAAGGGCTATTATAAGGGACATTTCCGATATCTCCAGTAGCAGGACAACTGTATGTATGCCCATTTGTTGGAAACACTTCTCACTCATTTGCCTGTGAAAAAAGAGTTTATCCCTAAAGCTCCAGCCCCTGTTCCCTGAGTCACTGGCAAACATTTCCTCCAAGCTGAAGAGGGGCAGCAGCAGGGCCAGTGCCCTGCTGGAAGGGCTGTTGGAGGAGCACCAGGACAGCAGCACCCGTGGTCACTGACTCGCTGGGGGCTTCCTCTCCTGACACCCCTCACCCTGGAGCCTGGAGTCCTCACGGTGGGATGCAACGGCAGAGGGGTCCAGCTCCCCTGTCTCCCAGCAGCAGCTTAGCAGAGGAAGGGCCACCTTCACCATCCCTTGGCCCTGGGCAAAGGTATACAAAGGTACTGAGCAGGATTTATTTTTTTTCCTTTCATTTTCTTGAACATAATCTTTGATCTACACACCCAGAGTCCCCCCCAAAAAGGCTGGTGTTCTTTTGTGACCTTGCCATTAATCCACATGCCTTTAAGAAGGCTCTTAATTAACTTGCAAAGGTTTGGGTTCACCTTAGCTAAAGACCTTCAAGAATTCCCCTCCTCAAGGACTTCCTACTTTTTAAATCAAGTAGGCATCTTAGCAGAACAGGAATCTAACAAACGTGTGCATTACTGAAGTGCGTGTGGGATGACTGTGAACTGCAAACCTTGTCTCCAGTACCAGATTGTTCAGGAAAATATAAATAAGAAATTCTAGGGTTGTCCTGAGGTGTTTCAGAGATAACAGGAGCAACACTTGTGCTATTTTAGCCATTTTGTTGTTGAAATGCTATCACAGTTTAGCAACTCCTAGACATCAGGCAACAGTTCAGCAAACCTCTCTTAGTTTGCAGATTTCTTAAAACCAGGAATGCCAAAGAGTTTTCCTCTGCCAAATTAGGCAAAGTCAGCCAAATGGAAAGGTGTAAATCCTGTCCTCTTGTGTCCCCAGTGTCTCTTGCTGTTCTCAGGGCCTGGCAGAGATGGAAGTTGACTGCTATTAGCAACTGTAAAGAGCAGGAGGCATAATGCCAGCTTCTAAATTAAACAAACAAAAATCCTTTTCTCGTTAGCTTTTAAAGACATGTATATTTCTTTCACACCTAGTGCTCAATACATGATCTTATTTAAGTGAGTAGTTGGAAAAGTACCAAAGACTTATACATACTTACGCTGGCAAAAAAAACCCTGCATTTTTGAATGCAGGATTTATGAAGACATCTCCCACTCCATCTCTGGGCCAGCTGGACTATTAGGAGTTGGGAAGATTTTTGACCAGAGTGGAAAGTCCTAAAAGTCATTGTATAAGCCCCATCAATCAGCCCAATGCTGGGCCAGTGGCTATAGCAGAAACACGTCTAAAGAATTTTTTGATTAGTTAAAATGGTGAGTCATTTAATTGTAGATTTTCACTCAGGGAGAGTGGCATGTGTTTGGGGTTTTTTTGTTTTGTTTTGTTTTGGTTGTTTGGGGGTTTTTTTAAATTTAATTTTTATCTAATGCTGCTTTCACATTTCACAACTACTCTGACTTCTAGGATTTATCCCAATTAATAGACATCCCTTATTCAAATACATCTGTTACTCTTAATAATATATTACAAACACTCTTTCACCATGGGTTAGAGAACACATATACAAATGCACTTCTGAAAGGGAGAGAAATGATTAAAAGTAACTTGTTTACTGGAGTTTTGTGTAATGGTGCATCATATACAGGACCTGTGGTATTACCACGCACACTTGGGTTCCAGTAAATACAGTGCTGGGCTGTTGAAAGAGTGACATGCAGTGCTTACTAACAAGAAAACATGTATAGTTGCCTATGAGAAGAAATGCTATGATATTCCAGAGTTGCTTTTTTTCCTACACTCTCCAGTTGTAAGAAAGCATCCAGAAAGAAGAGAGAGAAGAACAAAGTCTGGCTCAGCATACCTTCTGCCAAACTCCTAAAAAACTCATGTGATCTGAAGAGGGCTAAATAGCTGAAAAAAACATGTGATGAAACAGGTGCAGTTCTTTCCATAGGGAACAACATTAATTTTCTAGTCACATGTTTCCAGAGCCCAAACCATTAACACTTTCTATCTCTCTCGTTGTGTCCTCTTCCACTTCTCTTTTTCCTAGATATTCATCACCAAAAAACCCCCAAGCAAGCCAGCCTTCCCTGCATAGAAAGCTATACCACACCAATCAGTCCTGTACATAACTCTGCCAAGCTCTTTCCATGCATGTCAGCATTAGATTATGACATTATTTTTAGGATTTTTCCTTGTGATTGAAGCTCTTTGCACCAGCAGGGACTCCCTGCTCCTGGGTGAGCTGCCCCAGCCATCAAGGTCTGTGAAACTGCTGCAGCACTGAATGCAAACCAGAGCAAGGCAGGAGGCTCTCCTTGCTGCAAAGGTGCTACTGTGCCAGATGTCTTACTTTAAAAATATATATATGTGTGTATATACATCCTCCCACATACAAATGTATGTGTATATTTATTCTCAGTAGGGAGTTTTAGTATGCTTACCAACAATACATAGCTTAAGAACTACCTCCTCATTCATACATATTAGTGAGACATACCTTGAGGAGGCCTTCTAAACTTGAAAGTTCAACATTTAATTAAAAATTAATATGCCTTTCAGGCCTACTTGCACATGAAATCCATTGGAGCCCAGTTGCTGCATGTGGTGAGGTGGTGCCAAGCTGGCTGTCAGATGCACACAGTGCTTGATCAGACTCAGCTGCTGACAGGAGCTTCATCCAAGGTCTTGTATCTGCAGTCATAAGGAAAAAAGATGTCTACTTTAGGTTGGGAGGAATTTAACCATTAGAGCAGGATTTTTACTCACAGTGTTTTCTTCTCAGTATTACACAGTGGGTGGAATACAGAGGATTTTGCTCCGCATTTTAATGAAGACCTGTGGCAATGGCAGAAATTTTCATTCAAGGATTTCCCAGGCCTACGAGAATGACTTGGCTTGAAGGATTGTGTGTCCAAACACAGAGATTACCCAATACAATTTGTACTTTACTCATGCTCATTAGTCCCAGTCCTATGAATCAAGACCTCTGTTGGGTAATCTTAATTATATTTTGGTGACATGCATGGATTCAAAAGATTCTTCAGGATTAATTTGAGTACAAAGTGGTACTGGATGGCTATTCAAGAGCTCTGCATCATTTTCCCTTTCTAAAAGATTGTGCAAGGAAATATTTGCAACGTGCAAGAAGACACTGGAATTAAAGGAACAATCCTTAACATTGGATGGATTTTCAGACAGTCATTCCATAAGCAGTACTTCTCAGAAGAGCCCAAAGATCAGGGAGCTTGCATGACAGCAGTGACCTCACTGCTCAGGGCCAGTCACTGTTTTGGCATCAGAATATTCCATTGCTATTCCCACCTCTTTTCCCCAAAGCATGGGAACCAAGGCATATAGCTGAGGATGTTAGCCAACATTAGAAAAACAGCCTCAAAAGATATAAATATTTCTTATTCAATTAAAAATTCTCTCACTTTAGGCATGGAAGCAGGCAATGATATCTTCTCTTTGATCCCATCGAAGAGATTCACTCTTTCATGTGAGAAAAGAGGTGTTGCCTGAGAACCCCAGCAAGCTCCACTCATAAAACTGCATTAGAAATTTTGGTAGCTGGATGTTGCCAAAGGGCAAAACAAGGAATGAAGCTGTTGGCTTATGGGCAGCAAATGGAAGTCTGGTAAGTGGCGGAAGCCCATGTAAGTCAGAGTCTGTCATCTCAATGACCAATCCTTTGAATGACTTGTCATTATAGATTTGGGTTGGCTTTACCCGTGATGTTCCTTCTTGCATCTCTGCTTTCATCTGCGGTTCAGATTATAGTAACTAGCCCATACACGCTACTGGACAGCAGGATTATTGTTGGTTTTGATGTATTACACCATCAGGCAAGCTGTTGGGACAGAACAGCTGTACAAGTTGGGGCTAGCCTCCTCCCAATTAGCTGCTTGGTCGTTCTGCTTCTCAGTTAGAAACTCATATCTCTCCAGTTTTGCATCTGTACTTGCTTATTTCAGCTAACAAAAGAGCACAGATCTGACGGTCAGCAGCTCTGGAGTTACATGCTGGATCATCTCCTCTATTCCCCATTGAACTGCTCTTCTGTTTTCCCTTTGGAAAATGTGGACACCGCTGTTCACCTGCATTACAAGTACCACTTGTGCAGGGCTTTGAAGAGAGGTTACAGCATACTCTGGTAACTGATGCTGACTTTATACAGTGTCCAGGCCCATCAAGCAAAATAAATTAATATTTTAAAACTAACTCACAAATTAGTTTTAATCTGTTTCTCACAAACACTGCCACTGACAAAGTATCATTAGGATGCCTGGTCCTTTTGGCTCCTCACCAGCCTGGCAGTCTTTCCTATCAGCTCACACCCACTGCATGCTGTGATGACCCTGCTGTGCAGCACAGATTTTCCAGTCAAGGCTCACTTAGAGCTGGTTTGTGTGCATTGCAGTGCTTCGGAAACACGGAACTTTACTTTTCCCACTTTGTTAGAGTAGGGAAAAGAAGGGAGAAAATAAAGGAAGAAACTAGCCAAGCAGCAAGAAAGGAGGTGAGCAAAGCCCCAGCAAGCTCCTTGAGGGGCTGCAGGCACTGCTGTGCATCAGCAGGGAGGACAAAGTGCTCCAGCAGCAGTGTGATCCTGCACGCTTTGGAATGGTTCCATCCACACAAAACAAATTGCAGGGTACTTGCTGGTCACACAGACAAAATGCAGGGTGCTGCTGAATCCATGTTATTCCATGCAGCTAGAGGTAGCATTGCACTTCTGAGCTGTAGTTCCTATTGCAGTGCAGCTCCCATTTTACATGTGCAGGTACACATCATCCCACTTCATTAATTCCACAGCCAGGTCCCACTGTAAGCCTTGTTTCCCCTGCCCCGCTCCATGAAAGACCAGGATTTGGATTTCCCTGCTTTCAGCAGTGAATGCATCACTGATCATCCTGATCAGGAAAAAAGAGGAGCAAAGCTGGCATTCACACAGCACTAAGGTGTTAGCTGTACTTGAAACGATTTTTTAAAAGGCCAGTGACGTCCTGATTTGGGAAGCTTTCTGCTATGTCCATTGGGAGGACAATGCCAGTTTCTCAGTGTGTGACAAATCTACACTGGAGCATGAGGCACACACTAATAAACTGGTTCTGATCCTACTGGTGGCCTAGAGATGAGCTCAAGGGATATATCCTGCTTCTTGGACAGCTTTTACACTCTTTGTCAAGTTTATTGTAGCTACAACTAAACTGCTTCATTCGTTTGGGGCAGAACTAGTTCAAGCAGACTAGACAGGGGTGCAGATACACATTCTTATTCTAAACAAAACAGCCTTTCAACAAATAATTCATCGTAAAATAAGAGAGACATTTATTCTCTAGCCTTACTCAAAGATACACTATATAAAACCAGTTTAAATGAAACCAAGAGGTTCAAGTCAAGATGGGAAAACACTGCTTTTGGCAAAAGAAATTATCAGAGGAAAAATCAGTCTCAAGGGAAATCAATCTCAAATAGCTATAGCTCCACAATTAACATTACAAACCTCAAAATCTCAATTTTAGTTTATCTAGTATTTATATCCGTGCAAAACCAAGCACAAACTCAAAACCAGAATAAAGACTGCTACTGTCCCTGAATTAATCCATAAGAGCTATTAGATAGCCACAGCAGAGGTCAGAAAGGTGCAAAGCATTTTCAGTAGCTAGCCTGACCTAGTAAGACTTTTTTTTTTTTTACTATTGGTATTTTACAGAAAGGTATTTTCTGTTCCTGAGGATTAGTGTAATCAGCCACAGAGGAAGTCAGATCAACAATTTAAACAGTGTGGTGAATCTTTTTAAACATCTAATGCTGACTGGTTTGGTTATATTGTTTTGAGCTGGGGGAGATGGGGAGGACTTTCCTGAATTACAATATAATTTCACTCTATAGAAATACACAGTGAAATCAGAATACACAATAAACATCAGAAAGTACATCCTCAGGTTTTCTTGATAGCGTAGAGCTTGGCTCTTCTCTCTGCACACCACCTCAACACACTGGGCCTTTCAAGTTTGTTCATTGTGGACTGGATGGAAGGGATTGGTTTAAGGCTGAAAGGAAAATTATGGAGATTTTGAGGTAATCCTCTGAAAGGATTTGCCAGGGTGACAGCCACTCCCCCATCACACGATGCAGCCACCCTCCAAGTACAAATGTCTGGCTAGTCAGGTGCTGGTTAGATCATCAGCAACACCTCCAGTTTCGAAAGGAGAGATCAAAAAGGAGATTGCAGTTGTAGGCAGAGACACAGGAAACACAGGACTACCTCCAACTACCTCTTACTAATTGCTATCAGCTAGTCTGTATCTGACTTTCTTATCCCAGCAGTTCACCCTATACCACGGACAGGTGGGTCACTTTATTCTCCAGTTAAGCCCTTACCCCTTGTACAGCCCATTACAAAAACTAAGGCTGCTCTAACAGTCAAAAAGCACCTATCACCTTCCTCACTCCTGATCACAGCGTTTCTCCCTGTGCAGGAGGAATAGGAACCTTCATCCCACTGTGCCTCTAAAGACCAACGGGCACACAATGGGCACAGAAGCAAGCATTTCGTGCCTTCAGTCTTCCTCTTCCTTTCTCTTCACTAGAATCTAAATTTCTTCCTTAGAACTCTCATTCTTTTAACTCATCAGCCATCCTGCCTTAAACATGTATAAACTTCTGGTTAATAGCCCTTCTACTTGACAAATCAAGTTTCCTTAGAGTTCCTTAGCTGCCTCTCAGCCCTTTGGAACTCTCTTGCATTACCATCACAGATTTCCACTTAAATTTTCCAGAAGAGTTTACTACTCCCTATTTAGGATTCCCTACTTACCTTCAAACTTTACTTCTCTTGCTTAAGCAAGGGAATTTTTTTTGTGTACTTCCTCCTCTTCCCAAAGTGCATCGCTGTTGAAGCTCAGGTCCAGTTCTTCTTGGGGATCATGGGAGCTGTAGTCCTCTGAAAACTCAGACCTAAAGGTGTAGAAGAATTTGTCCCTAATGACAAAAAAGGATAATAAATTCACCTTAGCACAGAATGGATCCAAGTATTTTTCAGTCGAAGTTATTACGTGGGATATAGCTCACAGATTCAGCTGAAACGAGGAAAGCCAGAGTAAACATGTATTTGCTAATAATGGTGTGTGAAATCTAAGTATGCTGTATAATTAGAACTATTCCAAAATATTACTTGGAGGAGTAAAAGCAACAAGGAAGCTGAATGGTACATCTGAAGCACGAGGAGAGCATCAGTGGTAGGTGGTTTGGTGGGAAAGAGTAGCCAAGGAGAAAGCTCACTGGAAGGCAGAGCTGTTTGATTGGAACAAGGCTGAATGTGATAGAGGCTGGGGCATAAAGCAAAGTAAAACTATCAACATATTTAATAAGATTTGCAATTTGACAGTTACAGGTCTTAATATCTGCAGCCACAGGAAACCTGGGTCCACCTCTTAAGCACAATCCCTCAGATATTTAATATAAAGTGATGGAGAATAGGTGGATTATCATTTCCAAAACTAAAGGAGCAACATCTCACAATACAAAATCCAAATAAAGCTAGAGACACCATTTACCATTTGTTACTTTGACATTATCAGGAATGTGCTGCTAAATTGCTTTGGGTTCTTGAACTGGGCCCTTGCAGATGCCAAAGAGTATCCAGCTCTCAGAGCAAATCCTTCACTTCTTCAGTTCCATCCCCATCAGTGTGCTGTGAATAGGTTTTGGACCTGAGCTGGTGACTTTTCCCCTCAGTTCGGCAAAAATGATTTAAATATTATTGACCTGGTCTCCCATCTCCAGTTCAGCTTAACAGATAAGCAGAAGAGCTGGGATTTTGAAAGCTTTCTTGAGGGTAAAGTCTACACTAGCACAGTTTCACTGCTGTTTAGTCTACATTAATGTTATTTGAATTTTGCCCAGGGTCTTTAATAAGAGTTCAAATGTAACTGTTGGGGGTTTTAAATGTGTATTTTGAAAATTGGAGCCATCCAAAATATGCAGGGCAGAACATCTCCTGTGTTTATTTTTATGCCTAATCTAGGCTCTGCATCAGCTGTCTTCATGGTTTGGTAGCGTGAAGTACTGGAAGCCTACCAATACATATATATATATATATATAAAACTTCCTTTTTGGTTCCCATTGGTGGAAGGACAGATTCTTTTCCCCTTTGAGTCTCTAAAAAGTCACTGTGCAGGCTAATTCAAGACAAATGTGAACACATGATATCTGAACAACGGATGTAAGGCTCTGTTTGAAGGAAGTATGCTGAAAAGGCCTGCGTCCTTAGGGGTCTTCTGTAGGAGAGAGTGCTGGCAACCACTTGGAGAAAGGATTCTGTTACTGCTGTGGTATTTTGGGCTCCAGACTGCAATGTTTAGAATGTGCTCTGCTCAGACGGTTATGGGAGCAGCCCCTCCACCATGGCAACTAACATATGGCTTTGAGCTGTTGGTAATGATCACACGACAGAGAGAAACAGAAGAAAAAGGAGGATGGCCTTGCATAGACAGACCATGACGGTCTATGACTGCATTCTCCAAGGCTGTAACCAGAAGCTATAAATTGCTATATTGCATATTTTCACTTCTCATCTAATTGAAAAAGCAGTGTATACAGTTTTGCAGATGGTCCATTTATTTTGCTGAACTACCCAGAGCTCAAGGATGCTGTTTAGAACTGGGTACATGCACAACAAAAGGCCAGGGGAAATGGGATCTTGATATAATTAATTGTCAGGTATGAATGAGTATCTTTTTTGCAAGGCCACAGCACTACATTTCCAAATTAATGAATCTCTTGCCACAAAGGCAGAAAAAATATAAGGCACACTTGCTCACAAACTGCCAGGAAGTTTGCAGCACAGTCCTTAGCCTGCTGTTTGGACATCCTTCTTTAGCACTGGACGCTGAGTGGGTTATGGGAGGAAGGATAGGCTATGTGCAGGTGAAGCCCATGGAGGACTTTTCAGCCATACTACACCTGAAGGCATCATGTGCCCTCACAAGAGGAGAGGGACCAGGGGAATTCCAGCACGCAGTTCTCTCTGAACCTATTCCCATCCACCCCATATGCCTTGGGAAGCAAGAAACCCTCTGAAACTAAAGCCATCCTGCTCCAACCTCTCCTTTACACACCCAAATATACCAGCTCTGCTGCAGCAGGTGGCAATTTGTGTCAATGTCAGATGACTGCAACAAGGTCCAGTATAGTCTGGGACATCTGAATGCACTGCACCAAGGGAGACCATGAACACCATCACCAGAGCACAGCAACAGACTGAAAGGGGAGTATTGTTGTCTTCATTTTACACAGAGTGGGCTGAGATACATGTTGGGTCTTCTGTCTTTGGTTAAAGACTGGTAACTATACACAGAGATAGCTGCTGATCTCAAAATTCTAGGAAGTATTCCATTGTGCCAAAGGAATAAAGAATTTTTAAAGTTATACCAGAAGTGTATTACGACTTTTTTTCTCTCTTACTTTCTGTTCTTTTACTTGGAAGACTTCTGTTATCCACTTAGAGATGACAGAGGTAGCCAAGGGCACATGAAGGACCATGGACCATGAAGAGTGAGCAGCCTCATGATGCACACTAACAATCCTTGCTCAAAGATTCTTTATCCAAATTTCTCTCATAATGACAAACAGACCTGAAAAGACAATTCACTAACCAAAGAAGGGCAAAACCAATAATAAATTGAATTCCAGTATGAATTACCTCATGCAATATAGATATAGCTTACAGGTACTATTGTACATTTTGGATAGCTTATCTGAATTGCATCTCCAAACCTTTTTGATAGCGGCTAATCTTTGTTATTAAAATCACTGGATTGCTTATTTAAGTGTGATGCATACAATAAGAAAAAGAACTAGAAAAATACTAAAGTACTAGAAGAGAAGACAGTAAAGTTCTTACTGTAACTGCAAATCCCTCCAGTGACTCATATTTTATAAACTTGAAAATTACTTTTATTTATGTATAATAGAAATTAATTTATACATCGAAGCCAATAAGCATACCCATAGGATTCTTCGATGATGTGGTGTTTATTCCCCTTAGGTATTGCCAGCCAGGTGAGTGATGGGGATGGGACTGTGGGTCCAGGACCACCTCTTGCTCTGCAGCAGATGTGGGTGCTCCTTAGAACCACTGTAGGGACAGAAAACCAGGAGATAGGTCATCTGTTGTGCTGGCCAATGCTAGCTCCAACAGGTGTGTGTTTAAATAAATATTTGATACTGTCCAGGAAATACAGAAGGATTTGTGTATATGTTTCTGTGCTAAACTAGTCCTCTACACACAGCTGTAGGAATACAGCAGGGCACAGACTTTTGTTAGTTCTCTTCCCCTGGGCCTGGCTGCATCCAGGCTTTGGCTAAAGAGACAGCTTTTGAGAAGAGGTTTATTATCACTGAGGTCACAGGAGAGTCACCAATGTGTGTGGGACAAAGGGTGGGGGGAGTATAGTGGAGGCTGTGGGATGGCAGGGACAGCACAGGCCTGGTGGAAGGGCTGTGATCACTAAAAAAGCAGCACCTGTGCCTGGTGTAGGACTTAGACCCAGTTTTTTGATGTCCCTGCTGAACATGTACAGCACTGGAGGACCGAGCAACCACAGACAGAGCCATGAGCACAGTGCCTTGGAAAAGGCACACAAGAGAAAAAGGCACACCAAGAGAAAAACCCTCCCTGCCAGACTGGCACAGAGCCCTAGCTCAGTACACAGTCCCCTGTAGCGTCCCACAGCCCCTGCACCAAACAGCAGGCGAGGTGGGTGACACAGGGCTTCCACCACCCACAGGGCTGCCTGTCCCAGTCTGGCTGACAGAGGACAGAAGCTCATCTTTATCAAGGGGAGAGGGTTTTTCCCCAAACAGTTGTCCTCTCAGGACCCACTCTCAAAAGTGACCTACAAACAATTCTTCCAAAAATAAACCTAGGAAATGAGGTAACTGCCAAGCATTAAACCCCATGAATTCATTGCACCTAACACCAATCACTGTGTTCCTGTTAACACCCCTGCTGCTGTCCTTTCCTCTTGGACAGGCTGGGCAGCTGCAGACACAGCCTGGATGATGGCAGTCACATGCAGGGAGCTTCATGTCCTGCTTCTTGTCAGGCCTGTGGTAGCAACTAGCAACGCAAGGCTGAGTTGAATGGAAGATTCTGCTTCTTCCTACAAGCCTCCTGTCCTTGGGCAGCGGTGCCTATTGCCTCCCCCATTAGCAGTCCTAAGAAAGCCTTGGCAAGAAACCTTCTTTGCTCCTGTCACTCTCCCGGCTCTTTGCCCCAGCGGGGTCTCAGGAGATTGGGACCAGGTGATCCAGCCGGGTCTGGTCGCACCACATCCTGGCAGGGCGCGCTGCAACCTCCAGCAGCGGGAACCGGGATGGGGGGAC